TATTATCTTAAAATATTTATAATGGGCCATTACAGTGTGATTGTCATGTATATTCTAGGGCTTATTTCCAGATTAGGTATAGCCAATCAGTCCTAAAACATGTTAGCCTGAAGGTGCAGGGAGACAGATGCCATCGGTAAAGCAAAAATGCAGTATTTCATACACATTCTTGAAGGTTATAATAATACTTCATAATTTAAAATATATATATTTTAGAAAATAATTTTACATAAGACACTTTTTATTCTTTCGATATTTCTGCAAGGTATAATAATTTTAGAGATTCCATTGTAACCTGTTTTTCTTCTTTAGAATAGGGAATAATTGTTTAAATCCCCGAACACTAAATCCACACTTTTTCACCAAAGATCTATCAATGTTGTGATTTTGTTATTTAGTTTTTGTTATGAATATGGAAATCATAATATTTTCCACCCAAATATGATTCTTTGTATTAGGTTCAATCGCTTTAGAGGCATTTCAATTATTTTACTTCATTTTATTTTTTTTAACTAAATGCCACACTATTGCGATTTAACCAATTTTTCCATTAGTATCCTCTTTCTGTTTTAGGACCTAATCCTGGATTTGATTTGATTATGTCTCTTGGTTCTCCTCTGACCTTTGACAGTTTCTTAGTCTTTCTTTGGTTTTCAACAACCTTAACATTCTTGAGGAGAACATCACTGCTTTTTACTTAAGTTTGCCTGTTATTTATTTCTTCTGGTTCAAGGACTATTGGTGTTTTATCTACCTGTATTGCAGAAGTCTAAGATTAATTAAATTTTTGTCATTACATTCTGTATTTTGTCACAGTTCAAAACAAACACAAATGTGAAGAAAATTATTTTGGTTGTCCTAGCGGAAGATGCATTTTGAATACCTGGCTATGCGACGGTCAGAAAGATTGTGAGGATGGGCTTGATGAGTTCCACTGTGGTGAGACGTTGGAGCTTACTTTAACTCTATAAACCGTATTGTTATTCACATGCTGATATTTTCTTATGTATGGATTTTATAAAAATATTGCTAACTGAATTTCACAGGAATTTTCATTTTTATTACATGATAAAAATGGTAAAAATTAAAACAGAAGATCTTATAATGAAGAATAACAATTTTCTGTTCTAGCCTTTTCTTTTAATCTTTTCTGTATTTGTTGAGTTGTTACCTCCAACAATCTAAATGATATACCTTCATTTTCGAATTTATTGACTTTAGGTAGTTATTAATATATTTGCTTTCTGCTATGAAAAATAAGGATTTGACACACATTGCTTGTTATACTCCCCCTACCTTCTATTGATAGTTACAGCAGTTCTTCCCCTGGTATCTGTGCAGGGGACTGGTCTAGGACACCCTGTGGATACCAGAATTCACAGATGCTCGAGCCCCTTGTATAAAATAGCTCAGTATTTACATATCCTTTTTCGTATTTTAAAGTATCTCTCAATTACTTGTAACACCTAATACCACATAAATGCTATGTAAATAGTTATTATACTGTATTCGTTTTTTATTTGTATTTTTC